CCCCAGCAGCTGCCAGGCTCTGTGAGAAGCAAGCAGCCTGGCTCCTCCAGACGGACCACGGGACGTCAGGGCTGCGGGTCTCGGGCTTCCGGTGCAGCGGAGGGAACGGGGCTTGGAGGGCAGAGTCTCGACCATGGCCCTCACCAGATGAGTGTATTTGGGGGAGTGGAGCTGGGTCTGCCCAGGCAGGAGGATAAGGGAAATGACCCCCTGTCCTCAGAGCTCATCGCCATTGCCAGCAGCCTGTGAGTTGGGGGCGGTCAGGACTCAGCGTCACAGGAGGAACCAGGCTTAGAGGTTCAGTCTTCTGCCAGGGGTCCCACAGCCGGGGAAGCGGGGTTGGGGGTTCAGACCTGGGCATCTGTGCCCACCAGAGGCCGCATCCAGGGTAGCCTGCTGATTGGTGCTTCCCGGGCGGGGGAGTCGTAGGCACAGGGCTGGGGGTCTGGGGGCGAGAAGACAGCCTGGGGAGGAAGTGCCCCGGGTGGTGCCGGAGCCGTCCAGCATGTGGGGAGACCCATGGCGATGGCCCAGCCAGGAAAGTCCGCCCCCGCTCCTGTGGAGGTGGTGGACTTCGGTCCCTCTGCTGGGTTCACACACACGCCCTGCTTGGTAAACAGGTCGTCGGGGTCCCCTGTCCTCAGCCCTGCAGGGAGGAGGCGTCGAGCGAGGTGGGCAGGGCGCAGTGGAGAGTGGGGGCCCCGCGCCTCTTGGTGGCCCTGTGGAAACAGACACAGCTGGGCTTGCTTCCCCCACATTTTCTAGAGACGAGGGGTCTGGATTTCTGTGTGAAACCTTCCATACAAAACGTGGGCAGCACACGCGTGTTCACAGCACCCCACTCTGCTGGTGGGTCCACACGCGCCTGTGTGCCGGCGTGCGCCATGTCCGTGCGGTCGCTGGGGTCACGGGTGACGTCTGGAGCAGACGGTGTGGCGGACGCGGGGCGGCCTGCTGGGGAGGGCTGGGGCCAGGTCCCCACCTGGCAGTTGTGTGGTCAGGGCGAGCCCGTCTCCTGCCTGGAGGCTGGCGTGATGGCCTCGTCCTCGGGTGGGTGCGAGGACTTGGTGAGCGAGGCCGGGGCACGCATCTGGCACAGCTGAGAGCAGGTCTGTGACGGGACTCGGCTGTCAGCTCCGTGTCATCCCAGTTCATGGAACCACCGCTGACCCAGTGCTCACTCATGCCAGACACACACACATAGTCTCACGGCCCTCAGCCGCCTGGCGGGGCCGTCGTCTCTGCTTTGCTGGCGGGGAGCCTGGGGCACAGAGCAGGGGACCCCCTGCCCCAACCCCTGGCTGGGCCCCCACGTCAGGAAGCCAGGTCCCAGGTCCCTGCTCCTGGCGTCTTTGCGCCGCCACCGTGGTCAGACTGTCCCCCCGCAGGGCCGTCCTCCGGGAGCAGGGCAGGGCTGTGGTGGGCTCCCTGGGGGCCATGCTGAGGCGCTTCTCCTCGGGGGCCCCTCTGTGGGGCGGGGGCGGGTGCACGTCCTCGCTCAGGCCCTTCTGGGCCTGCACGCCCTTCCCCCTGCCCCGGCCTCTCCGGAGCACAGATGTTCACACGGTCAGAGGCACTGGTGTGAGATAAGGCGGTGATGACAGGGCCAAGGGGCAGAGTGGTGACAGTTGATCCAACTGTTCTGTTCACTCGGGACAAAGGTCGGCGCTGCCCTGGAGGGGAGGGGGTGTCAGGTGTGCAGACGGGGCCTGGGGGGAGGGGGATGAGACATGGGTGTGGAGCCCCAGGGGTCAGTGTCCCCGAAAGTCAAGTAAATGAGGTGGACCAGGGCACCCGAAGACCCCAACAGTGTGTGATCCCGGATCCCGCTGAGCTCCAGCGTGGGGAAGATGGCGCCTGCAGCTGCAGCGGGCAGCCTCACCGTCCGAGCAGGGGTTCCGTGCACAGAGCCCAGCGCGAGGGCCCACTCGGGCCCGGCAGGTGGCTGCCCGTGGGGCCGCCCCCGACAGTGGGGCAGGTGGTTGGTACACCGCGCATGCTTGGGGGCACAGCGGAGTCAGGCCATTCGCGGCTGGTGTGGCTCCACAGGTAGCCCTCGGCGGGGCTGGGGCCCAGGCCCATCAGTAGTGTGTGTGTGGTCCTTGTAGCAGATGCTGGGTGGTACTGTGTATTATAATAATACCGGTCTTAACATGCAGGTCCCTCTGGGGAAGGGGGGTCCCTAGGATCTGATGCTCTGTTCACTCCCACTGCAGAGGTGCCCCAATCTTAGTCACTTGAGGCCCCTCCTTTGCCATCTGTTTCCACATCAGGGTGTTGCCTAGGCTATCATCAATGTCTTGAGTTTTCTGTCAGTCAGTCTCACTTTTACAATTTAAACTTAAGTGGAGACCATCCATCGTTGCCTGTAAAACGGAACCAGTTCTGCTTGCTCTAAGTAGGAAGGCAGAGGCCACAGCAGATTCAGTGGAGCCCAGACCCTGCGGTGTCCGCAGCCACGGCTCACGGCCTGTCTGGTCTGAGGGAGGTGGGCAGCATCGTTGAGATCCCTCAGCACCGCACTGGGGCTTTCTCCCTGAGGTGACCAGACACTGAGAGAATGCGGAGAGTGGGGATGATCTTTTCATTTATTAAATGCTGTCTCCACTCCCCCCACCCCAACCCACCCTGGTAATCTTACGTGTGGCACGTTTTGGGAAACATTGACTTATGTTGAGTACTTTTCAGACTTCTTCCCAAGAATAGGTTTGGATGAAAGGTTTGAGTTCTTAATTGGAAATTCAGGAAACTCCAAAGTGACTGTGAATTTGTCAGGAAGCAGATTACATCTTTGCTTTCCCTAACCTAGAAATCACATCTAGCATTTCCTTACATTGTGAATGTGGGCAGTACTCTATGTGTGTGTGTGTGCGCACATACATATATACATTTATATATATATGTATATACATGTGTACACATTATGGTCTAACATTGTGTGCTGTGTAAATCAATGGTGTAGCAGTGCCTGTGAGGTGGAGCTGTTTTCCTAAGGAATTAACATGGTTGACCCTCAGCTGTGACTTGTAAATTATAGCAGTTAAGAGACAGAAGTGGGGTGGGGGGTACCACAGTATTACTACTTTGACTCACTAGCTTCCTTGGTGATGCTCAGTATTTATTCATGCTTATAAAAACATTAGTTCTAGAAGGGGTGTGTGAACTTCCCCAGAAAGTGAAGAGGCCCCAGGTGCACCGAGGGTCACCCCTCCCATCCTCCTGGGAAGGCAGACTAGGGACATGTGGGCACAGCAGGGATGGAACACCCCTGCCCCCCATGGCCCCTGACTGTCCCCGTCTCCCCACAGCCTTCTCCCAGATGGTCATCAGCTTCTACTACGGGGGCAAGCTGGTGGGCCAGACCACCACCACGTGCCCCGAGGGCTGCCGCCTGTCGCTGGGCCAGCCTGGCCTTCCAGGCGGGAAGCTGTACGGGCCTGAGGGCCTGGAGCTGGTGCGCTTCCCGCCGGCCGACGCCATCCCTAGTGAGCGGCAGCGGCAGGTGACGCGGAAGCTGTTTGGGCACCTGGAGCGCGGTGTCCTCCTGCATAGCAGCAGGCAGGGCGTGCTGGTCAAGCGGCTGTGCCAGGGCCGCGTGTTCTACAGCGGGAATGCTGCGCCCGCCCGCGACCGGCCCAACAAGCTGGAGCGCGACGAGGTGGTCAGGGTCTTCGACACCAGCCAGTTCTTCCGAGGTCAGTGCCCACACATCTCCCTCCTGTCTGTGTCCGGGGTGGCAGGCTGGGGTGCCCCTGCCTTTGAGCCCTGCCGGTTCTCCCCAAGCCATCCAGGCCCCTCCTTCCCGACCTCCATGTCTGGAGTGGGCGCCGCTGGGGGAGGATCAAGGCACTGAGTGCCTCACCTGCTACTGTGGGCTGTCCCCTCCCCGGGGAGCTGGGAGGAAGTCTCAGGCCCCGCCTCAGACCTGTGGGGTCAGAACCCACATCTTGGCAACAAGGCCCCCAGGGGCTGTGTCCACATCCTGAGACACGCTGACCTTGCACACGCAGCGTGGGAGCACTGCCCGGGGCTGCCGCTGTCCATGAGGGGGCTGGTTAGGCTCCCACTGCGGGAGCTCCCTCTGGAAGCTCAGGCCGGATTATCACTCACTGGGGTCCTGAGGCTGCCGGCCAGTCCCCAGAGCCCGAATCTCCTCTCTGTAGCAGCAGCGGCCGCCAGACGCCTTCTAGGGAGCTTTCTAGAGAAGGGACCTGGGAGGGTGGGCGGGTGTAGGTGCAAGAGCTGGCTCAGGGGGTGGGTAGCCGGGCTTCACCAAACTGCCTCGCCTCCCCCAACCCCTGCCCCATCCACAGAGCTGCAGCAGTTCTACAACAGCCAGAGCCGGCTGCCCGACAGCAGGGTGGTGCTGTGCTTCGGAGAGGAGTTTCCGGACACGACCCCGCTGCGCTCCAAGCTCATCCTCGTCCAGGTGAGCAGGGCGGGGACGGGGACTCACTTGTGAGCAGGCCTGGCTGAGACCCCAAGTGGGCAAGAGGATCCTCCTCACCTCTGAACTATCTTCTCAGATTCTAGGACCCTCAAAATCTACGTGGTTTCCACTCTTAGTTTTTAAAAACTCAAAACCACCTTTTCAGAAAGAGTCCGTAAGGTCTAGGCGACAGATCAGGGCTTCCCCAGCCCTGGTGAGCTCTAGTCAGAAGTGAACCCTATGGGTGGAATTGGGGGCCCCGGCTTGCCAGCCTGGGACACTGCTGGGAGGGTGTAGCATGCTCTCTGGGGGTCTCGGAGGTTCTGGGTGACAGCTTTGGACTGGATATGCAGAGAGGGCCCCCCCCGCCCCCCCCGCCCGCTTCGTCTCTGACTCGTGCGCTGATGTCCCAGGTGGAGCAGCTGTATGTCCGGCAGCTGGTAGAAGAAGCAGGGAAGGGCTGTGGCCCCGGCTCCTTGATGCAGGCCCCCGAGGAGCCCCCACCAGATCAGGTCTTCCGGATGTTTCCAGAGATCTGTGCCTCCCACCAGAGACCTTTCTTCAGAGAAAATCAACAGATCACAGTTTAAGTCTCCAGGGCACCGCCGCCTGCCCACCCCCTACAGCTAGAATCTCATTATTACAATTACTGTCGGATGTGAAGCCCCCTGGCCTGGGGTGGAGGGTTTCACCCTGCTCTTCGTTTGGTAAGGGCGTCCTGAGGACCCGACGGGGAACAGCACCGTGCCCACTTCTGTCACTCAGGTAGAAGCATCGAAACTCAATCAGATGCTCTGGATGCTGAGCTGTGCCCTGCGGTTAGGACATTCTTTCCTTCGTTTCCTTCTGATCATCGTTAGTTGCTATGACTCTTTCAGCATTTGGGGCTACCTGATGTTTCCAGAGACCTAGCGTTCAGTTTTACTAGCAGGTAGCTGTTTCCAGGAAAGAAATCCTGGAAAAGCAGAAGACCGCTTTTGTTTTTATCTTTGGTTAGAGCTAGAGAGTTAGGATTCCATGTGCTTGATTCAGTGAAGTGTCTCCTTACCTTTTAAGCATGTTGATAAGATTTAAAAACATCTGGATACCAGCCTGCCTTTCAAAAGTGAAAGCAGAACTCCTGGCTGTTTAGAAGAAAGCATGTTTGTCCTAGAATTTGGTGTCAGGCGTGCATCTCCCTGCCAGGTGAGCTGGTGTTTCCATCTTCAGATGATGAAGACTTCCCTCTTGGGCCTTTGTTGCCAGGAAGCTTAGAGCGGAATTTATTTTTCATTTCTGTAATTAAATCATCCAATATATGTCTCCTTCATTCTCAATGGTTTTGACCTATTTTAAAAATATTTGTACTTTTCATTATCTTTTTTAAATTAATGGTCCTATTGTAAACTGTCTTGAATCTTTTTTATATAAAGTGGGCAAGATATAAACCACAAGTTCAAAAATAACTGTGGATGGAACAGATTTTTTGATTGTGCCTTTGATTCAGTCAACCCATTTGTGGGCCAGGGGTGTGGGATGTGTGGGGGCAGCTCGGGGACTTTGAATGGGATGTATCCACTTCTCACCACAACGCTGGTCCCTTGGCCCTAGTACTGCTTGGGATCAACGATGACCCTGCTCAGCATGGAGAGAAGGGAACCCTCCTACACTGTTGGGAGCGTACATTAGGGCAGCCACTATGGAGAACAGTGCGGAGATTCCTTAAAACACTAAAATAGGGCTTTCAATATCCTGCAGTCCCACTCCTGGGCATGTATCCAAACAAAGCTCTTTGAAGAGATCCACGTACCCCCATAGTCATAGCAGTATTCACAACAGCCAAGACATGGAAGCAGCCTAAGTGTCCATCAACAGATACATGGATAAGAAGATGTGATAATATATATATATATTTATATATGCACCCACAGTGGGACATTAGTCATAGAAAAGGAAGGAAATAAGGCCATTTGCAGCAACATGGATGAGCCTAGAGATTACTGCACTAAGTAAAGTTAGAGAAAGATAAATACCATATGATACCAGTTATGTGTGAAATCTAAAATATGACACAAATGAACTTGTCACCAAAGCAGAAAGAGACTCACAGACACACTGACTTGTGGTTGGCAGTGATGAGGGGGAGGGACAGAGCTTGGGGTTAGTGGACGGAAACTTTTATACAGAATATATAAACGAGGTCCTACTGTACAACACAAGGAACTGTATTCAACAAGAATATGAAGAAATATAACTGAAGCACTGTTGTATAGCAAAAATTAATAAATGGCAGTCAGCTATACTTTTTAATAAAATTAAGCAAAAAAAAAAAAAAGTCCCATTGGCTAATTTAAAAAAATTCCCACTAGCTATCTCTTTTACATATGAGAATTTGCTGTTTGACACAGAAAGCTCAAATCCAGTGCTCTGTGACCACCTAGAGGGGTGGGAGGTGGGATGGAGGTTTAAGAGGGAAGGGACATATGTATACCTGGGGCTGATTCATGTTAGATGGCAGAAACCAATACAACATTGTAATTATCCTCCAATTAAACTATAAAAAAGAAAACTATACACTAGTAAAGAATAATGAAAAATTGTGGCAAAATACATGAAACTTTTTACAATAACCCCACTACACAAATTCTGCTCTTTAACACCATATAATTCCAGTGGCGATGTCCCAGTTCTACCCTTGGGAGAACTTAACCTATTTACTAGCAAAGAACATGCCCCTACTCCCCAGAAATGTGTCCGCGTGTCCACCCTCAGCTGTGATGCTCATGAGAAGCCAGGCAGAAGCCCGAGGACAGCAGCCTACTTGGCTCATGGCTTCCTCTGTGCAAGATGACACACGTCTGCAACCACTTCATCACCTTCATGATTCAAAAGTGCTCGATAACCAATGGCATTTTTCACAGAACCAGAACAAAACATTTTAAAATTTGTGTCGAAACACAAAATACCCCCCAAACCCAAACCAATATTGGTTTCTGCCATCCATCAACATGAATCAGGCATAGGCACACACATGTCCCCTCCCTCCTGAGCCTCCCTCCCACCTCCCAGAGAAGAACAGCCCAAGGAATCGGGCTCCCTCACTTGCGGCTGTATGATCGACACAGAGCTACAGTAATGAAATCAATATGGTCCTGGTGCAAAAAGAAGTACAGGTCAGTGGAACAGGATAGACAGTACAGAGATAGACCCCCAGGTGCTTAGGGTAACTAATCTGTGACAAAGGAGGCAAGAATATACAATGGAGAAAAGGCAGTCTCCAAGTAAGTGGGGCTGGGGAAAGTGGACAGCTCCATGTAAGAGAGTGAAAGTAGAGCGCACTCTAACTGTGCACAAAAACTCAAAATGGATCGAAGACCTAAGTGTGAGACCACATGCCACAAAGCGGGAGGAAAACAGGCGTAACACACTCTGATATAAATCACAGCAGTATCTGTGTTGATCCATCTCCTAGATGTATGAGAATATAAACAAGAATAAACAAATGGGGCCTAATTAAAGGTTTTTGCAGAGTGAAGGAAACCATAAACAGTGAAAAGACAACCCACAAAGTGGGAGAAAATGTTTGCAAATGAAATAACTGACAAGGGATTAAGCTTCAAAATTTACAAAGAGCTCGTGCAGCTCAGTATCAGAAAAGCAACAACCACAAAATCCCAATCAGAAAAAGGACAGAAGATCTAAATAGACATTACTCCAAAGACATATGGCCAAAAAGCATATGAAAAAGTGTTCAACATCACTAATTATTAGAGAAATGCAAATCAAACCTACAATGAAGTATCACCTCACACCAGTCAGAAAGGCCACCATCAACAAGTATACAAACAATAAATGCTGGAGAGGGTGTGGAGACAAGGGAACCCTCCTACACTGTTGATGGACATGTGTGTTGGTGCAGCCACTATGGAGATCAGTATGGAGGCTCCTTAAAATACTAAAAATAGAGTCACCATGTGACCCAGCAGTCTCAGTCCTGGGTATATATCCAGACAAAACTGTAAGTTGAAACATGCACCCCTATATTCATTGCAGTACTATTCACAATAGCCAAGACATGGAAGCAACCTAAGTGTCCATCGACAGAGGAATGGAGAAAGAAGGTGTGATATATATATACACACACATACATACACAGTGGAATATTACAGCCATAAGAAAGAATGAAATGATGCCATTTATAGCATCATGAATAGACCTAGAGATTATCATACTAAGTGAAGTAAGTCAGAAAGAGAAAAACAAATATCATGATATCACTTATATCCGGAGCCTGAAATATGGCACCAATGAACCTATCCTAAGAAACTGGCAGGCAGATGGGCCCCAGGGTGGCCAGTGGAAGCCATGAGGCTGGGGTGCCCTCTGCTCCTAGGCATCCTCCAACATTGGCTCCAGCCTTCCCCGGACCCCCTTCCCTGCAACTCTAGCAGAGCCTCTGCCTTGGCCCCCGGGCAGTATGTTGACCAACATCCAACAGCTTGATGAAGGTTTATACATTCAATGAGGACCAGCAGTGGGATAACCAGGGTGCCAGGTATGTCATCCAGCTACAGGGAGCAGCTGAAGAACATGCCCTGCTAGTCAGGGCCTGACAAAACATGGTCTGCTGGAGAAGGGAATGGCAAATCACGTCAGTATTCTTGCCTTGAGAACCCCATGAACAGTATGAAAAGGAAAAAGGATATGACACTGAAAGATGAGCCCCCCAGGTCAGTAGGTGTCCAATATGCTACAGGGGAAGAGCTGATAAATGGCTCCAGAAAGAATGAAGAGGATAAGCCCAAGTGGAAAGGACACCCAGTTGTGTATGTGACTGGTGATGGAAGTAAAGTCTGATGCTGTAAAGAAAAACACTGCATAGGAGCCTGGAATGTTAGGTCCATGAATCAAGGAATATTGGAAGCAGTCAAACAGGAGATGGCAAGAGTGAATATTGACGTTTTAGGAATCAGTGAACTAAAATGGACTGGAATGGGCGAATTTAATTCAGATGGCCATTGTATCTACTACTGTGGAAAAGAATCCCTTAGAAGGAATGGAGTAGCCCCATAGTCAACAAGAGAGTCTGAAATGCAGTTCAGTCCAGTTCAGTCACTCAGTCATGTCCAACTCTGCGACCCTATGGACTGCAGCACACCAGGCCTCCCTGTCCACCACCAACTCTCAGAGTTTACTCAAACTCATGTCCATTGAGTCAGTGATGCCATCCAACCATCTCATTGTCTGTCGTCCCCTTCTCCCACCTTCAATCTTTCCCAGTATCAGGGTCTTTTCCAGTGAGTCAGTTCTTTGAATCAGGTGGCCAAAGTATTGGAGTTTCAGCTTCAGCATAAAGCTTCAGTTGAATATTCAGGACTGATTTCCTTTAGGATGGACTGGTTGGATCTCCTTGCTGTCCAACGGGCTCTCAAGTGTCTTCTCCAACACTACAGTTCAAAAGCATCAATTCTTTGGTGCTCAACTTTCTTTATAGTCCAACTCTCACATCCATACATGACTAATGGAAAAACCATAGTTTTGACTAGGTGGACCTTTGTTGACCAAGTAATATCTCTGCTTTTTAATATGCTGCCTAGGTTGGTCATAACTTTTCTTCGAAGGAATAACTTTTTAAATTTCATGGCTGCAGTCATTATCTGCAGTGTTTTTGGAGCTCCCCAAAATAAAGTCTGTCACTGTTTCCCCATCTGTTTGCCATGAAGTGATGGGACCAGATGCCATGATCTTAGTTTTTGCAATGTTGAGTTTTAAGCCAACTTTTTCACTCTCCTCTTTCACTTTCATCAAGAGGCTCTTTAGTTCCTCTTCACTTTCTGCCATAAGTGTGGTGTCGTCTGCATATCTGAGGTTATTGATATTTCTCCCGGCAATCTTGATTCCAACCTGTGCTTCCTCCAGCCCATTGTTTCTCATGATGTACTCTGCATAGAAGTTAAATAAGCAGGGTGATAATATACAGCCTTGACGTACTCCTTTTCCTATTTGGAACCAGTCTGTTGTTTCATGCCCAGATTTCTCAAGAGGCAGGTCAGGTGATCTGGTATTCCCATCTCTTTCAGAATTTTCCCCTATGTGCTCAGGCATGCTCATTCATGTCCGACTCTTTGTGATCCTTTGGACTGCAGCACACCAGGCTCCTCTATCCATAAGAATACTGGAATAGATTGCCATTTCCTCCTCCAGGGAATATTGACCCAGGGATCAAACCCACATCTTCTGCATTGGCAGGCAGATTCTTTTACTAAGAATATCACCTAGGAAGACCCAAGGAGGAA